TAGAGTATTTGCCAGCAGGGGATGTTGCCCTGCTCAGCTACAGGCGCACCACGCACCTACTTTACCTCGAGGGCGTTGATCGCCCCACCACCCTTCACCTCCAAAGCGGGGCTTTGATGGGGGACCCCAGTGCGCCCGACGAATTTCGAGTTGATTTTGCCCGCCCCCTCCAGGAGTGGCTCGCCCAGTTTCAGGACCCTGCTTTGTGCGTGTCGTGCCCCGTGTTCGGGCGCGAGGTCTATGCGGGCCTGTTCAAATACGTGGGCGACCTGGCGTATTTTTTGCTACTCCAGGAGGGGGCACTTTCCGAGGCTGTCGCCACAGCGCGCGAAGCCCAGGCTAAGCTCGGCAATGCCCTGGCTGCGTACGGGCACAAGCAAAACACGTCGAAACAAGTTTTGGTCCCCCGCCTTTGTGGTTACAAGGCCACTCGCCAGTTTTACGCTGCGGAGGCCGGGGGGGCCCGAGTGGCCCCGCACACCAGGTACTTGGGACCTCAGTTTTTGCCCTCTGGCGCCTTCTCCCACCAGCTTGCACTGAGTAAAGTAGCGGCCAACAGGGGGTGGATGTCTTTTAAGTATTTGTGGACCTCGGGGGCCCCTTTTAAGGTGAAGAGGCTAGTATTCATATCTGTGGTGCAAGGTGCGCTGTTGTCTGGACTTACGCCGTGTCTCCTCACGAGCTCCCAAGAGGCCCAGCTGGACATCGCGCTCTTGGGTAAGATCCGATGTATTGCTGCGGGGGCTTTGTGTGACCGTTCTGGAGATCATCCCATTATTAAGGACTCTCGGGAGGTCTGGAAATGGATGAATATTGTTCCGTCTGGGGTCGAGTTGTTAGTTCAGAGACTTCGATGGTACCAGGCCATGGTTAGATGGCCCGAAGAACATTCCCAGGTCATCAGCCTCCTCTTCGGTCGCGTCGGCTTCGAGAATGCCCCCACCCTGTCCGAGGGCCGCCTCACCGTTCACGCCAACCCGTTCGCCGTTCGTTTCGTGACTGACGTTTACAGGCTCGAGTTTCTAACAGACTATGAAGACTGGCGCTCCGTCTGGGGCGAGGACATCCATGCGCTCTTCCATGACGACTACATATCGCATCAGTTTCTGGCGGCTGATGTTTCTGCTTTGCGCAAGATCTGGCAGAGCGGTAAGACTGAGCTGGGCACTATCGATTTCGGACCCTGCCTCTCCGCCTCGCAGGATGGAATTGAGGAATTCTTGGGTCCCTCTGGCTGCGTGCACGTATGCAGATGCACTACGGATGATGGAGACGTGTGTGGCGCCCGCTTCTTCACCCATGCTGCCCTCGTCGCGCGCCAGACTCACGCCCAGGGCGGCTCTCATGGCAACTTCTCCTACTATGCCAGATGTGTCGTCACGAACCAGTGTCCAGCGTGTCGCACTTCCCTTGCTTCCCAGAAGACCGCGAAGGCTCACCTCTGTCGGGCATTTCGTCGGGGAGTTTGTGATGTTCACAGCGCGCATGCACTACATCCAGTGGTCGTCCCCAGGCTTGTTTGTCCTGTGTGCGCCACGTCTTCGTATTCCGATTTGGCTCAGCTCCAGGATCACATTTGCGAGCGGCACTTGCCTTTCATACCTGAGAGACGGGCTGGCGATGGCGACCCCCAAGCCCAAGTGGATGCTGGAGAAGCGGCCGCCAGGGGCAGAGGCCGAGGGCGCTCCCGCGCTGGCCAAGGCCAAGGGCGGCGGCCCCCCGCAGAAGGACAAGGGCGGCAAGAGCTCCGCTCCCACCCCAGGCTCCGCCTCCGACGCGGCCGCAGCCAGCGGGCCCAACAGCAAGCAGCAGCGCAATCGGCACCTCGGGCAGATCAAGGACATGGGGTTCACCAAGAAGCAGGCCAACTTCATCAACGTGATGGTGAAGCAGACGCTCATGACGACCCAGTTGGTGCGCGAGCTGTGGGCCGCAGAAGTGGACACGTACTTCCTGACCGCCGACCTGCCGGAGATCGAGGCCGCGCAGGAAGCAGGGGCGACGTATTCACACGAAGTCCGAGCCCGAGGCAAAGGCCACCAGCTCGGTCCTCCTCACCTTCATATATTCAATGGGTTCGTGACCAAGTTGCTAGAGCGTGGGCCCGCGCTGGGGCAGAGGACACACGCGATGCTCAAAGATTGGCACGGCAGAGTGTGGTGCGAGCTGCAGCCTCACGACCTGTACGACATGGTACGGCTGTTCCGAGTCACGAAGTGCTACGACCAGAACAAGAGGAAGCTCCACCTGATGATGAGGGATGTGGCACAGCCGAGCGCACCGCCCGAATCAGACGAGCAGCAGCTGCCTTCGCCCTTGACAGTCCGCGGCCTGCTCCAGAAGGCACTCGAGGAGATCGGCGGGCGCAGGGCGCTGGGCGCGGCGCCACCAGGCGCAATGGAGGAGATACTACAGAACGCAGTAGACGCAAAAGATAGCAGGTGAGCATGCGTAGGGTGCGTGCATTCATATATGCAGCGCGGGGCAGGCTCATCTTCAATTTCGGCCTCCTCCCCAATGCGCTGCACTACGTATCGGACGGTGACCGCGTGAAGTGATCATCTAATGACGGATCGTTGTCGCCTCCCACCTGTTTCACGCTACCGCGAGGTCCGCCCCCCCCCTGTTGGCCCATTCTTTTTGGCTAACGCCTTAGTTGTCCTTGCTCCCTGGGGTCTGTTCGTGCCCTACGCGTCGGTGCGCGTGACCCTGGGGCCCAGCCTACAGGCCCGTCGGGGCCCGCTGGGCCCCTTCTGAACCTCATGACTTTTTTAGTCGTCCGACGGGTGCACTCTCGTACATATTACACGCCTGTGTGTTTCACTTGCAAACCCACGAGTTTTACACGCATTACATACACGAGCTTGCCGCACGCTGTTCAGTCCGCCTCGGCACAGCAGGGACAGGGAGAGATGCGGGCCCAGAGTCGTCTTTCATTCATTCACTCCTCCTCCTCCTCCTCCTCCTTCTCCTCCTTGCCTCCTCTTCCTACTCCTCCTCCTCCTCATCATCATCATCATGATCATCATGATCATCATCATCATCATCATCATCATCCTCATCCTCATCCTCATCCTCATCCTCATCATCCTCATTATCCTCCTCCTCATTCCCTCCTCCTTCTCCTCCTTCTCCTCCTCCTCCTGCTCCTCACTGCCCTCCTCTTCCTCCTCCTCCTCCCTGCCCTCCTTCTCACCGCCCTCCTTCCTCCTTCACCTCCTCCTCCTCCTCCTCCTTTTCCTCCTCCTCCTCCTCCTCATCATCATCATCATCCTCAGTATCCTCCTCCTCATTCCCTCGTCCTTCTCATCCTATCCTCCTCCTCCTCCCTCTCCTCACTGCCCTCCTCTTCCTCCTCCTCCCTGCCCTCCTCCTCACTACCCTCCTTCCTCCTTCACCTCCTCCTCCTCCTTCACGTCGCCAGATTCAAGGCCCCAGAGACGTCCAGTTCGGTGCGGTTCCGTCAGGTTCGGCCCGGTTCAGTTCGAAATCGAATTTGGTTCGGTTCGGTTCGGTTCGAAATTGAGTGTCGTTCGGTTCCGGTTCGTTTCGGTTCCTGTTGACAAAATATGCGGTTCATATTGGTTCGGTTCGGCCCGGTTCGGTTCGGCCGGGTCGGTTCGGTTCCTGAGCCTTCTTGCAAAGATGACGATGAGTGAGGAGAACGAGAAGGAACAGTATCAGCAGGAGCAGGAGTGGGAGGAACGGGAGGAGCAGGAGGACCAGTGGAAGGCGGAGGAGGGGAAAGGAGCGGGGCGACAACGACGTTGAAGGATTCAGTTTCAGAATTCTGGTCCGCGTTGGGACGATAGTGCTATTTCGAATGACGAATGCTAAGAGATGGTGTTCGGGAGAAAACGGGCCACGCTCGGACAGGATCTGGGGAGGGAGCGTTCGAATTTGTTTGACGCGTGGACACCCAGAGGTCTGGACCGTTCTTCTAGGGCAAGTTTTTTGTCCCGAATCGGTGTTGACGGTCTCGCGGCCCGCTGAGGGCCCCCTGAGGCAGAAAACAGCCCAAAACTTACCGCTCTAGTTTTTTGTCAAAGCCTCGGATCTCTGCTCTGGGATTGCGCAGATGCAGAGGAAGAGGGAGGGGAGGAGTGGGGAGGGGCTCGCCTCGTTGCGCCTCCTCCCCTGTCGCCAGCCGTTTTCTGGCCGCGGCGGCCGCGCCATCCGCGCCCGGCGCGCGGGGGGGGCCCCCCTCTTTCCCCCCCAATCGGGGAGTGCCAGATGGGGATCACCCTGGGGTGGTGTCTGGTTCCCCAAGCAGTGCTTGCACTGCAGGGGCCGGGTCCTGGCGGACATTGAAAGTTTTGGCGGAAGTGTCCCGCCGATTTTGGTTGCCGGCTGGGTTCCCGGGTTCCTGGTTCCGGGTTCCCGGGTTCCTGGTTATTGGTTCTGGGCCGATTTCGGTGTGTTCCGGGTTCCCGGGTTCACGGGCGATCTCCTTATCGATCAAGCCATCCTCTGATGAGGGTTTTTCTCTGGTGTAATTCCCCCTGAAGGTCGAGGTCACATAATTAAAGCTCGAACCCGAGCGGGCAGTGCCAAGTGGGTTCGCCTTAGGGAGGTGTCCAGTCCCCCCTGAAGGTGGCGGTCATAGGATCAGAGCTCGAGGAGATTCCTTGGGGCCGCGTGGGGTCGTTTCGGGGGGCTCCGGGGTGACCGTGGGAGCGCTCTTTCTTCGAGGGAGTGGCGCTTCCTCGAGGAAGTGGCGACCCCGCTCTGCATTTGGTCATCAGGGTGGGGGGGGGGCGCCGCCCCAGCCGGGAGCGTCAAATCTACCACCGTCGCGAGCAACCCACTGCCGCGCGACGTCGACGCCAATCGGCGCACGCCGCCCGCCGCAAAGACTGGACCCTCCCCAGCCCACGGGTGCGGACAGGTTCCTGTCGACCCCCGTCGGGAGGTGACCCCTCCATTCTTCTTGCCAAACGCCGAGTAGCGATTGGCATCTCCCAGTCCCCCTCCCCCCCTCTCCTCGTTCTCCGCGGCAGGGCTGCAGGATGTCAAGGCAATTCCTCGCCGCTGGGACTGCCGCGACGGTGGAGCTGTCCCTGATGCAGCCCCTCGACGTCATCAAGACGAGGCTGCAGCTCCAAGGACCGGGGCTGTGATGATGTTGTCGCCGTGTCTATGTTGGCGACCGGGGAAAAGGCCACGCTGTGTTGCTCCCTGCTGGGCCTTGTCCGACCAGATTGACCATATTGCCAGCGTCTTTCATGTTCGGGTGCTTTCGGTCGCATGTGTGCCCTTATTCCATGCTTTCGGAGGCGACGGTAGCGGCGAATAGCCCAGGGGCGGGCATTCCGCGCATCCCTCCGGAAGTCTCGCCGAAGACACGGACCATCGTCGCCCTTGGATGCGTGTACTGGAGGAGGAGGAGGAGGAGGAGGAGGAGGAGGAGGAGGAGGAGGCTCCTCCCTTGTCACTCGCCCCTGCTATATCGCCCCCCAAGAGCCGTCCTTGGTGCAGCTCCTCGACAGTCATCCAGAAGAGGCTGCAGCTCCAGAGGAGGAGCGAGGCGGCGATGGCCCCAGGGGCCTGGGGCCTCGGACCTCCTCCTCCTCCTCCTCGCTCCTACTCCTCCTCCTCCTCCTCCTCCCCCTGCTCCTCCTCCTCCTCCTCCTCCTCCTCCTCCTCCTCCAAATGCAGCATCGCCGCAAGTCACGACTGGAGCCCTGCACCCAAGGCGCTGAAATATGCCGCCGCTCCGTCTGTCCCGACGCGCGGCCTTGCGTTTTGGGGAGGGCGCAGGGCTTGCCGTGGGGCCTGCCGCGGTGCCGCTGGCTTCAGCTGCCTGTGCGTGGGACGCAGGGTTTGTCGTGGGTTTGTCGTGGTGTCGGCGTCGTCCACTTGGGCGCGTCGAGAGCAAATGGCGCGGCGACATATAAGGACCGCTTTGGGATCAGGAGGGGCCTGGGTTGTCGCACCGTTGTTTCGCCTTGTGTCGTGGAACGTGTCTCTGGCCTACGCCCGCCGTGACCAGACAAGCCTATTCGTTCCTTATTGCGTTATAGATGACTGTGGACCGCATCTGTCTGCTGCACTATTTCCAATCAGATCGATGTCTGAGGGCCCCATGGCCCGAAACTGGGCGAGAAGGCCTGGCGCGAAAGAGGTGCAACGCCCAGATCTCAGAGGACCAGCTCAGGACCCTTTGCCTCCGCCATGGAGCAAATGAGTCTTGAGGGCAGCGCGTCCTGCGGTTTTCGCCGTTTGCGGGCCCCGTTCCCGCCTCCTCGCCTCATCTTCGTCCTTCTCTTCGCCGCACCCTCGGCTCTCTCGTCGTCGTTCTCCACCCCCTCGTCCTTCTCCCCCTCCCGTAGCTGTTTTTGCTCAGCGGTGCTGGCAGGCTTGTCACGTCGGCTCTCCGCGTGAAGCCCGCTTCGGCCCCGCCCCCCGCCCTGCGCCGAACAGCGCGGGCTCCTGGGCCGTCAGGCCCACTTCTGAGGAAGCCCAGAGGTTGGCACCGGCACCGGGTACGGTCGGGCCGATGGTATCAGGTCGAGGCGGGTGCGGGGAGGGTGCTCCGGTGTTCTTCGTGCTTGTTGGGCGCGCGTGTGCATCTTGGGGAGGGCACCCCTGGATGTTCTGTGCGTTTTGGCCGACGGCGGTCTCACGTTCTTGGAGGATGTTCTCCTGGCCTACGTCCGACTGTAATCGGCGCTTGCCTCCACCGAGCTAGGAGGTAAGATGATCCCGATCTCGGCGGTGGTGATAACATTCTACGTATTGCCACCTGCACCATGATCTAGGATCAGCATCTTCCCCTTGTGGAGGCAGTCCGCCTGCTGCAAGAGCGACAGGATGACAGCCTCGATGGAGGAGTCTTTTTCGCCCGGGAAGTGCGGCTCCTCTCAGTCGAGCAGCGCCTCCAACGGGCCCAAACACATAAGGATACCCATACGACAACGGGCAGTCTGCATGTCAACACGACGATGATGATCACGATGTGCACTGGTTGTGATCCATCCGCTTTTGCATGTAACTCGTGGCTGACGAGTCCACCACGTAGGCTGGAGGCGGTACAGCCGGCTGAGGGGCCGGCGTTCTTCGCCCACCCCACTGCGTTCGCTCCATAGGTGCCGGGCACTCGGGTGGAGCGCGCCGCACAGCGCACACCGGGTGTTCTGGCTGATGCGCGTTTGGCTGCGTATGGCTCCACACCGGAAGATGTTAAGAGCCTGCTTCTCGGCGGCCGGCAGGCTCTCCGAGAATGTCTTCCACCAGGGGTCGTTGGAGGCTTCCACGTATAGTCGTTGCGGCTAGCGGCGCACTGCTGCAGACAGCGAATGCGGCACACCAGCCTCACACAATGCTGCGCTTCTTCGGACCGCGTCCAGAAGTAGGAGCGCCCCTCGCGTACAATCTCTGTGACCTTCCGGACTCTCGGGTCGTCCCCTGGGAGCATCTCCAGGCACAGGCCAGAGTAAGGGTCGTAGTCTCGGAAGCCGAGCCCCAGCCGATCCACGGCGGTACGTATCTGCGTCTCCACATGGGGACTCCAACAGAATTCAGGATCAAAAACCACCTGGAGTCCGCGAAGAATTGACCCGTAGAGCGGGTGTAGGTAGAGTCTGGTGGCCCACCAGCGGCCCCAGCACCATCAGGAACAGCCGGTGCGCAGCACAGCCTTCATGACCAGGGGCGTCCCCTGTGTTAGGGTTGGTGCCAATGTTCAAGCCTCCAATCATCGTCTAACCCTCCAGTCGTCGGAGGTTTGCCAGGCGATCCTGCAGGGTGGTGATAGCGGACGGTGGCGGATGAGCTTGTAGAAGCCAGGGCCATGGTTTGGGAGGCCACCAGGGAGTCAAAGCACATCCAGGGCAGGCTGCAGTCGCGCAGGGGTACGTGTCTCACGGCTATGACGGCTGCGTTTCGTGCAGTCGTGCCGACAATGTGAGCAAATGCGCCAGCGTGACAGCATTGGCAGGTGTGCCGTGGCAGCAGCCAGACCTTACGAGCCAGGCGCCGGGGACACGAACCCTCAAAATCAGCCACGCGCAGAGGGGGGTGGGGGGAGGGGGGAGGGCTTCTTAGAAGCATCCAGGCTTCTTAGCGGGCGCGGGCCTTCTCTATATATGTAAGGCCGGCGCCTTCTAAGAAGCAGTCTCCCTCCAAGAGGCCCTCACCCCTCCCTCCACCCCCTTGTGCGCACCGCCAGCAAAAGGTGGACCGCAGGGCGCGCGAACCCGGCACGTCGGGGCCGAAGGGCTACGGCAACGTCACGAGAACCAGTGTCCCTGAGATCCGCGCCCCGTTTCGGGCCCCGGTGCCATCACAAATCGATCCGGCTCGGGATATGCCGTAGAGAGGTGCAGTTTTGACATTGGTCGCGATGTCATTGCAATTTTGCAGTGTACTTCACGTCGCAACTTCGGATCTCGGAGGTTCCTGCTGGGTCCAGGCTCGCATTCGCCACGCCGGAGGGAAGTGGTTGAGCGTGAACTCGAGCAGATGCGAAACACCCTGACCTGCCAATAGGTCCACAACAAAGTATTTTTAGAACGTTCTCCGTGGTTTCAACGAACCGTTCTTAGAAAATGTTTGTCTAAGGCAGTATTATGCTATGCAATCGGCTTTGCGTTCGAATAACATTATTTCCCTAAGAGAACCGTGTGGCATGCCTATGGGAATGCAGGGACGGTCGGTCCCCGATCAATGAACGGTCTTCTCCCACGGGCCTTTCGGGGCTCAAGAGACGGGGGTCAAACGCAAACGGGGGTCAGCCAGAGCGCCGAATCTTGCAGGATCCTGCAGAGCCAGGGTCGCATTGACCCGGGCTTGGGTGCAGGATCCTGCAGAGTCTTGCCGGATTTTTCAGGATCTTGCAAGGCCTTGACTGACCCGGGCTTGGATTGACCATGGTCAGTAGATCTCCGAGGTTTGCCAGTGCAAGGTTCCCTGCAGTGTCTTCGGTGGCGTCGCTTGCTGTTCGCGGTGCGCAGGCCCATGAGGCTTGCGGTCAGAAGCCGGAGTCTAGGCCTCCCCGATTGGGGTCGGCGTAGATAGGGTCGGAGGATCGCGCAGCATCGCAGATGCATCGGCGATGCGGCTCGACGTTGAGCCCGATGTTCTTCACGCCGACGTCGTCGATGCATTGCCGACGTCACCGATGCATCGCTGATGCATCGGCGATCCACCTCGATCCTCGGACCCCATCTGCTCTTCCCTCATCTGGAGGGCCTCGAGGCATGAGCCCGCCTCGCTGGGCAAGATGCGCACCGCAAGGGGGTGCCCCCGAGTCTCCTCCGGGCCAGGCTGTGGAGTCGTTGTCCGCTTTTGTGGGCGCCCGCGCGGGAGTCCGCCGTGCGTGCGATCGGTCTCATGCCTCGATCCCAATGCCGCCCGCCGCAACCGCGAAACTGCGAACCACCTCATTCCTCCTCCTCCTCCTCCTCCTCCGTCGCCTCCTTCCCCATGCAGTCCTCATCCTCAGAATCCTCCCTGTCCTCGCTGTGCGAGAGGGGAATTTGTTCGAGGAGCCCGAGAGGGCAGCTGAGTCTGGGAAGGGGCAGCCAGCGGCGGCCCTCCGATGCAAAACCACACTCTCGGCGCCAGGGGAGAGAGCATTTCGCAATGTCTTGGCACGTCTCCTTTGCGTGGACTCGTTGCGCAGGCCAGTGTCCGAGACTCGATGACCCGATGCGGCCCACGCCACCTTGGCGCCTGTGGCAGCGACGGCGCGCTTGAAAGGCCATGGCATTCGACGAGAAGGTCCGCTCCGCGCAAGGCGGGGCGAGACGCCGCCAGACCTGGGATTGCCTGCCCCAGGGTGGTCGAGCGCCCCCCCCCCCTGGCATTGTAGTGCACTCCGATGTGAATCCCTAAGGGCTTGTTGAGCGTTCGCCGATCGACTTGTGGGGATCGAGCCACATAAACCCATGTAAATGGCAGATACATCGAGGTACACCCAGGTAAGTCGAGAGAAATCCAGGCACATCCGGGTAAATCCAGAGATCTCCAGGGAAAGTTGGATCCACTCACGGCCGCTCCAGCGCGAGTCGAAGGACGGCAGAAGTCGTTCAGCCTCTAGGGCCTTCAGCGCGTGGAGAGGATGCCCCGGGGTTGCCTGCCCCAGGGCGGTCGAGCGCCCCTTG